GTGGCCATGAAAACTGAAATTAAGAAAAAAAGTTCAGTCCATTTGTTAAAGCTATTATGCTGTGGGTGCAGTGGTTCATGCCTGTAATCCCAACACTTTGGGAGACCAAGGCAGAAGGATCACTTGACCCAAGGAGTTCGAGACCGCCTGAGCAATACAGTGAGATCCCTGTCTCAACAAAAAATTGCAAAATTGGCCAGGCATGTTGGAATGTGCTTGTAGTCCCAGCTACTTGGAAGGCTGAGGTGGGAGGATCACTGGAGCCTAGGGAGGTAGAGGCTGCAATAAGCAAAGATCATGCCACTGCACTCCAGCGTGGGTAACAGAGTGAGACCTTGTCTCGGGAGCGGGGGAAGGAAAAAAAGCTGTTAGAAGGCAAACAAAGTAAGGTATGCTTAATCAATACTAAAATAGACAGCAGTTGGTCTAACAATGAGATATCTGCTTTTATGGTTTTCACTTTTTGATGTAACGGCGGATTTCATTAGAGTTATATCATGCTGCCATTACATCAAAGACTTTGCTATTTCGTCACATGCCAGTGTTTCCAAGGCAGCATTGAAAGGTTATTTATTATGGTTTGTTTATTAAGCAAGCATCAATCTCTATACGTTTTACGATATCTTTATTACAGCCTTAAGGAACTGATATTCAAACTTTGGTTGCCTAAGAATCACTCAGGGGTGCTCTGTAGATTCAAGACCAGATTTCCAGAGATTTTTGTATGTCTGGGTAAGACACTTTTAATAAACACTGCAGAATATTCTCACGCAGAAGGTCCTCGAGTCAAAATATGAAACAATATTTAGTAGTATAAAGAATGTGGTTTATGGTAATTAACTCTAAGAAAGAATTAATCAGCTTTATACTAACAGGCTAGTGACTGTTCAGAACCTGCTGTGAGTTCCCAGTCATTCTGCTTTGTACTAGCCCAAAATGATTGCACTTCCTCTAGATGCCGTCCTGCCACGTTTCATTCTTCTCTCTATCAAATGACCTGTTCTCTGCATTTAGTTTGCCAGTAAATAAGAACCATAGTTCTAGTTGGCTTTTCTAGAATCCTTATCCAGCTAGAAGATATCCCCATTATTCCCTTGCTTTTATTTCTCTTCTTAGGGCAAAGTCAAAAAGGCAGAAAAAGAATAGCAGGAAAAAAGTTGCCTTGAACTACTTTCCCGCAAACACTAGCATCCTACTCATAAGTTTCTGCGCCTTTTCGACCCATAAGTCAACTGGTATGTTAAAAACCTCAATAAAACTTGAACTTCATGCCCTGCCTTGTCTTTTCTTACAGATATAAGGGCTTTTCCTAAGATTTTTATTGTAGGTTAAAACAGAGCTTTTAAAAATACATATTGAAAAAGCATAATTAACTTTATAATAATTAGAAATATTCAAAATGAAATGGTTAAACCCAAGTGGATAAAACAATGAAGTCACTTATAAAAACATCATAGAAAAACTAGCAAAAAGAATGGAATATTTATCAGAGCTGTGAATAAAATATTAAGTAAAAGATTTTAAAATATAAATATTTAAAAGATCTATAAAAAAGAATTAAAGCTAAAGCAACAAGAAAACCAGTGGATTGTCAAGTATGAAAAGCAAAATAACAATGTCTCTAAAAACAATTTCATTCAAGTATATATTAAAAATTAAAATCCCTAGTAGATAGATGGTCAAAGGCTATGAAAAATAATTCACACAATGAAGGAAATATAAAGAGGAAACACAAATATAAGGAAAAGCTGGCTCAGAGATACAAAGTTAAAATGGCAAGCCATCTTATAAAAGCTGAATTAAAAAAAGAAAAAAAAATTAAGCAAATGATAATATCAAAATAATAACAGCTTGTGGTAAAATTGGTACTTGCAAGTTGTCACCTTGAAAATAGGAATATTCATTTTGGAAATCAATTTGGCAATACATATCAAAAGAAATAAAGTGTTTATGTCCTTTGATTCTACAATCCTACACCTAGAATTTTATCCAAAGGAAATAAAAGAAAGAAAAAAAAATAAGCATGTCTGAAGATATGATGTCAATACCTATAACAGCAAAAAAAAATTAAAAGAACTAAAATAATAATGGTAACATATTAAATTATGACACATATACTGCATAGACTATATTATATTATTATTTTAAAATGTCAGTATGAATGAGAATCTGAATGGTACAACCATATAGTCTGGTTTCATCTCTAAATACTATGGTCTCCATGACATCTACTCTAGGAGATGTGTTATGCTAATTTCCCAACATCACATGCCTATTCCTAGTCAAGCTCTATTTATCACTGACCCCCAACGAATTTTGCCTACTCTGGCTTCTATGAGCATGCTCTGATCCTTCACTTAGAATGTTTTTGTCCCTGTCTAGCCAAATTCTGCCCATTATTCCAAAGCTGTTCAAAAAGCCAGGGCTGCAATTTAGCATTTCTACATTCCGCTATACTCAAAACCACAGTAGACCCTCAATACATGGTTGTTGAATGAATAAATGATAAACAATGATATAATAACAATAAATAATAAACAATGATAGCTAATATTTACTGAGGACCTACTTACTATCTGCCAGCAACACTCTGGGGGCTTTATTAAATGTAACTCATTTAATCCTCACCATTATCATTATTTCTTTCTTAATATTTATCATAAGCTATAACTATTTTATTTATTTATGATTAATTCTCTACTAGAATGTAATCTTCATCTATCTTGTTCACATAGCAGGTATTTAAAAAATATTTATTGAATAAATCCCTAAATAATCTATCATTAGGAGTCTGAATTAGTAGTCCTTTAAAAGAATCTTTTGAGAGTCAGAATGATTTACTGTGAGTTAACAACTTACATACAAACCCAGAAATGTTTTAGAAACTCGGTTTAATGCATATTGAAATTAATTTATTTGGTAGAAATATAACAAAATTATTTCATACACAGAAAACAGGACATTCTGCAAAATATGCCAAGGTATTACAGGATGACATTATAAAAAGGATGTGGTGACTAGTCTCTGAACCAACTAATCACTAAACAATTACAATTTTTTCTAAAAAAAAAAAAAAAAAAAACACCAGAACTTTTCATACAATTATCTTAAAGGAAATCAGATACAAATTCGTTTTTAATGTAATTTTATCTGGAATTTTAAATATTTTTCTTTGAAAATGTATTTTGTTTTGCTACCAAGATAACTATATGTCCTAAAAATATTCTAAGTAACAATAATCTTGCAACTTTGGATATTTAAATTTGGTTGCTCAGAGAAAAAATCCTGGTGGGAAAAAAAACATTGTTCCCTGCTCTCTTACAAAGACTACAGCATCACTACTTAACAATACCAGATGCAGATAGCAGCTTACAAGCTTACCCAAGGAATTGCCTATAACTTAATTAATATACTTGCCAATCAATAGACTGTTGGTTAGTAAGGGATATAGCTTAAAGGGGATGTATAAAATGTACCTGTGGGCTTAGTAGTCAATATTGTCACATGAAGTAGTAATGGAAAGTTACTATGTCCAAAAACTATTTGTATTTATATATAATAATTCATTTAAAAGAAAGAAAAAAGATTACTCCTACATGTATTAAGAAGAAATGAGGGCCAGGCACAGTGGTTCACACCTGTAATCCCGGCACTTTGGGAGGCCGAGGAGGGTGGATCTCCTGAGGTCAGGAGTTAGAGACCAACCTGGCCAACATAGTGAAACCCCATCTCTACCAAAAATACAAAAATTAGCTGGGTGTGGTGGCGCATGCCTGTAATCTCAGCTACTTGGGAGGCTGAGGCAGAAGAATCCCCTGAACCCGGGAGGCGGAGGTTGCAGTGAGCCAAGATCGCACCACTGCACTCCAGCCTGGAAGACAGAGTGAGACTCTGTCTGAAAAAAACAAAATAGAAAAAAAAAATAAACAGAAGAAGAAATGAGGAAAGAGAGTAGCAGTGATTAGGACAGCGGCCGAGCACTGGATTTAGAGATGTAGGTGCTGGTTCTGGTTCTGCCTGCAGCTGCCTTTGTAACCTCGAGCCAGTCATTTAACTACTGCAGGCTTTATTTTCCCATCTGTACTACAAAAGGACTGAACCAAGTGATTTCCCAAATCCTTTCCAGGTTCTAAGATTTTGTCCACCTCTTCTGTAAGAAACTGCTCATCTCCTTCACCCAGATTCATTTTCAGTCCCCACAGGGAAGCTCACAGAAGAGGGTGTATATCTATATAGAACAGTCAGGGGGAGCTTCAAAATGATATAGAACTGGGCCCTGGGGGATACTGAGAATCAGGAAGGCGAAGGGAAGAAGAAGAAGAAAAAGACAAAGGGAAGAAAAAGGGCAGAGGGCCCCACAGGCATAACCTTGCCTACTCCCTGCCCTGTGATAATCTTCACTACTGCTTGCCAAATATGCTTGTGGTTGGGAGGGGCTGTGTGACTGGTGATGACATGTGAAAAGAAGAGACTCGTGTCGCTTCCATGCTGAGTATCACTGCCCAGGCAAGGTCTCCAAAGCTATCCCCTCTGGCCAAATGACCAGCAATTTTTGAAATGAAGGCTGCTCTTCAGCTTGGCCCCAAGCAGCTTTTGTAAGGCAGAGCCCCTGATAACGAAAATAACATATGACTCCAGTGGGCAATAAATTGTTGTTTTAAGCCACGTGAGGCACGGGGGTTGTTTGTTGCTACTGGATAACCTAGTTCCTGAATACTCCCAAGGGTGAAACCTAAGGCTGTTGAGAAAAGGTGCCTCCATCTTCTCTGCAGCCTCAAAGCCTGCTTGCCTGCTCAGCTAACTCTAAGCGGTCAAAGACAAAGGCATGTGCAGAACCACTCAGGAGCCTATTCATTTGCAAGAGCCAGTTCATTGAAACCTTTCACAGGCTCCTCTTCAGCCTCTTGTCCTTTAGGGTTGCAAAACTGGGATTGTGCTAAGACACAAAAGCTTTGAGAAAGAGATGAAGTGAGGCTATGTGAAAACTGGAAAAACATTCTTCTCTCTATTTACCCATTGGTGCAGAGAATTGAGAGCAGAATTTAATAATGAGTGACTAGGCTTGAAAGATACGGAAGCATAATACAAATACACTACAAAAAGAGTCTTAAAGAGAGAAGACACGTTTAGACTTACAGTTTGTACTTCCTTTAGGTTAATTCTTATCTTGGGTCTAAAGAAAGCTTTGTTTTTTCTTCTAGATTCAAAGACTCCTCTTTTGAAGATCATCACTGCCATCTGCCTCAAAAAGAAGAATTATACATGAAGTAACAGTGAGATGCACTTCCCAACTACTAAGTATTTAATCAGCTGTAGAGTGTGGTAAATTTCTTTTATTTCATGAAATTTTTATACCTTTATTGTGGCCTCTCTAAAATATCTTCTCGATTCTTCCTGGAATTTTGAGGAGCTCATTAACTCCAGTTGCCTTAACTCATCAATTTTACCCAAAGCACGCCGAGCAAATGCCTACATGCAATTAAAATAAATTTAATTCATAAGTCAGAATATAGTGATTAAAACGTATAAAGACAATGTTTTGTTCTCCTAGGCATTTGATTTAATCTGTGAATTAAGCTCTAAGGTTAATGCTGACTCCTTTTATCCAGTCCATCATTTTCTTTAAGAACCATTAAATTCTCTAATAAATTGTGAGATATGGTAACTTTATGAATTATGAATTTTTCTTTTTGAGACAGAGTCTGGCTTTGTTGCCCAGGCTGGAGTGCAGTGGCATGATCTCAGCTCATGGCAACCTCCGCCTCCTGGGCTTAAGTGACTCTTTTGCCTCAGCCTCCCCAGTACCAGGGACTACAGGTGCATGCCACCACGCCCAGCTAATTTTTGGGTTTTTTTTGTTTTTTTAGTAGAGACGGGGTTTCACCATATTGGCCAGGCTGGCCTCGAACTCCTGATCTCATGATCCACCCACCTTGGCCTCCCAAAGTGCTGGGATTACAGGTGTGAGCCACCGTGCCCAGCCTATAAAGTAAGGAAAGCTGAAATATGACTTAAACAGTAGCTCTCCATACAGATTATCACTTCTTGGCATTGCATGTCCTTATGTGCACACACACACCCCACACAAACATGTCCTCAGGTGCTCTTCTCAATTCCTAACCTTCCTATCGTGACATGCTATATTATCTACTTAACTGTTGACACTGACCACCAAACTGTGACTTTCTGAAAGGACTTAACTCATTATCGTGTCTCCAATACCCAGCACACTGTATTTTATAAATATCTGAAAGAAGGAAGGAAGAAGGTAGGCTTTCTTATTTAATCACATCACCATTATTATAATCCTCTAGAGATAACAAAAGAGTTCAAAGGAGTTATTAAGAGCTCAGTAACAAGAGTTCATGTCCCTTATTTCACCATTTCTTTGAAATATTTCATTCATCATTTATAATTTTTAATGCAGATGCTTCTAGACCAACCACAGTATCAACATATATGAAGGGTTACATTTTCCAATAAGGAAAAATTCCAATAGGGATCAAATGGCCCAACTCTATAAGAGTTCCATTCCCTAATAATTTTAATAGCTATAGAACAAAATATACCACCACTAGTACACTAAAGTTAACTATATGCATATGATGAGTTGTTTTTCCGGAATACTTGAGCTATACAAGTATCCCACTGAGACTGAATTAGGCTATTCCTCTGCCTATGTGCCACGAGCATCTAACCCTTCAGAATTAGTTCATGCAGGAAAAACTAAATGGAACTGTAAATTAGCCAGATCATTTATTTATGGTTGTTAACAAGATATGAACAGGCACATGCACACCCACAAAGGCAGCCCTAAACAAGACTTCCAGCCAAAGAGGTTGACTAGAACAGAAACTCAGCTCACACCCCACATACCAAACCAGGTACCCTTGTGCAGGAATGTGTTGGCCCAAAGGAAGGGGTTCTTATTTCTCATTCTCACCAAGGCCCCATCCACAGACCAAGCCAGGTACCATGTGCTGTAGAGAAGGTGCTTTTTTAAACTTTACATAGGAGCACTCTATAGGCCAATAGAAGCTCTGAAGTTTATATATGTGTGTGTGTGTGTGTGTGTGTGTGTGTGTGTGTGTGTGTGTGTGTGTACATTATATATATTTTTTTGAGACGGAGTTTCACTCTTGTCGCCCAGACTGGAATGCAATGGTGCAATCTCGGCTCACTGCAACCTCAGCCTCCTGGGTTCCTGCCTCAGCCTCCTGAGTAGCTGGCACTACAAGTGCCCACCACCATCCCTGGCTAATTTTTGTATATTTAGTAGAGACAGGATTTCGCCACGTTGGCCAGGCTGGTCTCGAACTCCTGACCTCAGGTGATCCACCCACCTTAGTCTCCGAAAGTGCTGGGATTATAGGTGTGAGCCATCATGCCCAGCCTGAATTTAAGTTATATTTCAATCCAGAAAGATATGAAAAAAGGAAAAACAAAAAATAGAGTACATTAAATGGTGGTTAAAAGGTGTATTCAATTAGCTGAGCATAATGGTGTGCATCTGTAGTCCCAGCTACTCCAGAGGCTGAGGCTGCAGTGAGCCATAATCATACCACTGCACTCCAGCCTGGGCAACAGAGCAAGAAGAAAGAAGAAAAGAAAAGGAAAGGGGAAGGGAAAGGAAAAGGGAAAGGGAAAGGAAAAGGGAAAGGGAGAAAAGAAAGAAAGTATTAAATGGTAGTTAGCAGAGAAAAGCAAGACAGGAGTGTAGTAAATGATAAGGAACACAAAACTAAACAAGGAAGGTGGCTTGAATCCAAAAACAAAATGAGGATGGAAAGACAGCAGATAGAAGTTTTTGAGATCTATTGCACAGCATGGTGATCATAGTAAACAATAACATACTGCATATTTCAAAATTGCTAATGAATAGATTTTAAATGTTCTCACTATAAGAAAAGGGTATGTGAGAAGACGAACATATTAATTAGCTTGATATAATCATTCCACAATGTATACATTCAACAAAACATCACATTGTACCTCATAAGTATATATAATTATTGTCATTTAAAAATAAAAATCTTGATTTTAAAAAATCGTAGAAATCTTACTCAGAAATGGAGCAAAGAAGGTGAAAGTCAATAGAGAATAATGGAGAGAGCAACAAGGAGGGCAAGAGAGAAACAGAATGGAAAAGGCAAGCAAATATGTGCAAACAAAGCCTTGAACTTTTATCTTGGCTTCATTTCAATTCTTTGTTTGGGTTTTGCCTTTTCCCTTGCAAGCATCTAAGGAAGAAAATGCTGGATACGCTGTATTTTAAAATACCGGGCCTGGGAACAGTGGCTCACGCCTGTAATCCTAGCATTTTGGGAGGCCAAGGCTGGCAGATCACCTGAGGTCAGGAGTTTGAGAACAGCCTGGCCAACATGGCAAAACCCTATCTCAACATGGCAAAACCCTATCTCTACTAAAAATACAAAAATTAGCTAGGCATGGGTAGCACATGCCTGTAATCCCACCTATTCAGGAGGCTGAGGCAGGAGAAACGCTTGAACGTGGGAGGCGGAGGTTGCAGTGAGAGAAGATTGCATCACTGCACTCCAGCCTGGGAGACAGAGCGAGACTCCATCTCAAAGAAAGAAAACACATAAATAAATAAAAAGAAAAAAAAAAAAAAAAACAACTTAACTCCTCAAAGTTAAAAAGCAGCATACCTCTCCGTGAATCCCGGCTTGGCAATCATAGCAGCACTGGCAAACAGCCGTGTAGAGAGTAGCCCGCCATGTCAAGTACCTGAGCGACAGAAGTGGGACTGAGGACTCCATACACATGCTGGCCCACAGGAGATACTCTAAGGCCTGCAAAGCAATGGGCATCATTGGATTTGTTTTCATTTTAAGCTAATAATGATGACTGTATTAAATATAATCAAATTCTAAGTTGTGAGCACTAGTTGCTGATTATTTAAACCAAAAATACCATTAAAAAAGTGTCAAGAAAAAACAAGCAATTAAAAAGTAAAAGATAATTTAAAGAACTCAAAATCTCAAGTAAGCCATTTTGGAAGACATTCTAAAATGTCCTTTAGAATGTCTTCCAAACACGGAGTGCAATGGCACAATCATGGCTTACTGCAACCTCCGCCTCCCGGGATCAAGTTATTCTTGCAGTAAGCCATGATTGTGCCTCAGCCTCCCAAGTAGCTGGAACTACAGGTGAGCACCACCATACCCGGCTAATTTTTGTATTAAAGAGAAAGGGTTTCACAATGTTGGCCAAGCTGGTCTTGAACTCCTGACCTCAAGCAATCCACCTGCCTCAGCCTCCCAAAGTGCTAGAATTACAGGCATGAGCCACTGCACCCGGCCTATCTTATTATACGCCTCTTTGCTCATTTTTATTAATATATGTCACGTCAACAGTAGTTTAGGAACTAACTCCAATGATACAATTGTCATTTGTTGGAACTAGTATATTATAATGAAGATTAGCTGGTATAGGAGGTAAGGAAATGAAAAAGGCTTACAGCCTGGGGCCTGCGATGCTTAGTAGAAATGGTCCAAGATTAGAATCAAATAAACCTGGATTTCAGTTCCAATTTTACTATCTAGTGGCTGGATCATTTTATCTCTTTAGATCTCAATTTCCTCATCTGTAAAATGGGTATTTTTTCACATCCCAATAGTGTTATTACAGAGAAAGAGACAATGGACATGACATGGTAGGAAAATACTTCTATAATCTAAAATAAAATCCACCTTGATAGACCTCCAGTGCATTGGTCCTCATCATGCTTTCCAGAACAGCACAAAGCAATCCAAAACTCACTTCTAAATTACAGCCGTCCGCCCAGGCGCAGTAGCTTACGCCTATAATCCCAGCACTTTGGGAGGCCAAGATGGGCGGATCACAGGGTCAAGAGATGGAGACCATCCTGACCAACACGGTAAAACCCCTTCTCTACTAAAAATACAAAAATTAGCTGGGTGTGATGGTGTATGCCTGTAATCCCAGCTACTCGGGAGGCTGAGGCAGGAGAATCGCTTGATCCCAGAGGCAGAGGTTACAGTGAGCCAAGATCATACCACTGCACTCCAGCCTGGTGACAGAGTGAGACTCCATCTCAAAAAAGAAAAAAAAAACTACAGCCATCCAGGAATCTAAAAACATCTATGCAGCCCACCCTCTCCCTCAGCTTCCTTGTCCAGGGTAAACATTCCCAAGTACTTCCATCCCTCACGGACCCACACTGCCCTTCTCCACCACGATCAGCCTTCTGTGGCTTTGCCCCAGGTTGCCAGTGTCCTTCCAGGATGTGTGGCTAGACCACAGTACAGTGAACTCTCTCAGTCCCTGGCTGTGGACACTGTACCTCTATTAAATCAACCACCACTTTGAGAAAGGTGCTGTTATTTCCTCTATCTTATATAATAGATAAGGAAGCTGAGGCTGAGAAAAGTTACTTTGCTCAAGGTCACACATCTAGTCAGAGATGTACTGAGACCAGGGCCAATGTCACCTGAGGTTGACATTGCTGAGGTTGATTCATTGCTGTTTTTGTTGTTGCTGTCATGGCTATTGTTGCTTGCTAATCTGACCACTTTGTGAACTGAAATGAAATTAACCACCAAAAACCCTTGAATTTTTCTCACATTTGCTGCTCCCTAACAATCTCTATTTTCATTTTTGCATTTGGATTGTTGTGGTTTGGGTTCAGTGGTATATCATGAAGCCATGTATAAATTTCACCTTTAAATTCACATCTTTCTAAAATCCCTCAGGACTCTTGGTATTAGAAATTTCACATTTCAAAATAAAAATAGCTTCAGTTAACAATTGTTCACACTGTATTTGATTTGTTTATAGAAAATCAAAGTTTTTTGTGCCAGAAGGGATCTTAAAAGTAACCTAGCTTGCCTCCATGAGGCTAAATTCATTCTAAGGAAAAGTTTCAGCTGGGGCTGAAACTCAGATCTTTGAACTCCCAAGTGCAGCGTTCTCTCCACTACAGAAAGGAACCTTGACAAAGGGGAGAAGCTCACCATAAAGCACTTAAGGTTCTGAAAACCTGGCTTTCAAGTTTAAACAGGAAAAGCCATTTTCGAAATATGACTCAATTTGTAGCATTTTTTCCTTACCATTAAAAGCTACAAATAATTGCTTCTATTTATTAAAAAATGTAACAGGATACATCAGGACTCTTTTCTTCATGGGGATATCATTTGAAAAGTCAAATGATTACCATAACCAAAATACGGCCCCAGTAAGAGTATATTGCAGGTGTTAAGTAGGAAACATACCTACGATTAATCAGCTCAACCACAGGATGGCACTGCAGCCTCATTTATATCAGCTGACACCATTTAAGGAAAATGACAAGCAATTTCAAGGTCAGGACTTTGAAGTTTATGTAATGGTATGTGAAATAATTTGACAGTAACTGTTCAAGCCACATATGTTGTCAAAATATTTCACTTTCACAGTTAAAATGAAACAGAAATCAATCATTTCTTAGAATGGATTCTAGATGTATTCTTTAATGTTTGCTGCATACTATACTACAATTTTAAATGCCACCGAAGAAACTAAATTATTCCATAAACAAAAGTAAAATGGTCATATGTCTTCAGGGAAAGAGGTTTCAGAAATCTGACCCCTCTATTCCCTAAGCATCTGACCCCTCTATTCCCTAAGATTATGCTGGTGCTTAGGTGTTTCTCACTTGTGGAAAAGCCCCCAGTTAGTTTTGGTCTTTGGGATGTCTTTGGGAAGACAGGGTTATATCAGAAAGCATCAACCCCTTCCCTGCAACTTCTCCATTTGAGTACGTAAACCAGAATAGAATGGGTCATGACAGGATTCCATTTAGTCAGTAGACATGCATTATTCTAACAGTACAGGGTGACATGGGCCCTGGTTTCAGTACATCTCTGACTAGATGTATGACCTTGAGCAAAGTAACTTTTCTCAGCCTAAGCTTCCTTATCTATTATATAAGATAGAGGAAATAACAGCACCTTTCTCAAAGTGGTGGTGTGAAGATTAAATGAGATAATAAATGGAAGTACTTACAGGCATACTTGATGACAGTAGGCATTTATTCAATCAATGCTAATGATGGTGATGCTAGTGCCCACCTCATAAGCCCTTCACAGGACCTAACACACAGGACAGATTTAATAAGAGTAACAAAAGCTAGCCATCATGCCTAGACCCTATATCAATGGGAGTTTAGACAGCATGAGGAGCCCAGATCTATTTCTCCCTCCATCTTATGCTACAACATAAGTTATAGTGAACTCTAAAATCTCTACAGTAATCAAATCCCTGGGACCCGGATCTCAGACACGGGGGGACCTCCAAGGGCTTGTCTCCATTAAATGGATCCATCAAATCCATTTTTGGCCTCAGCTCAGGAAACAATTTACCAGCTGGGGGTTTGGGAATTACTGGTGAAAATTATTAATTTCCTTGAAACATATTATATTGAACAAACTGAAAGAATGTCATTCAGATCTTCAGGCGTCAAATGTACAACCACCCACCACTCCAAAGTTATTGTCTACCTCACCTCCCATTCCCATCCCACAAGACTGGCACCACAGAACCATACTCATTTGGGACCAGGCACCGTGGCTCATGCCTGTAATCCCAGCACTTTGGGAGGCTGAGGCAGGCAGATCACTTGAGGTCAGGAGTTCGAGGCCAGCCTGGCCAACATGATGAAACCCTGCCTCTACTAAAAGTACAAAAAATTATCAGATGTGGGAGTGGGTGCCTGTAATCCCAGCTACTCGGGAGGCTGAGGCAGGAGAATCACTTGCACCCAGGAGACAGAGGTTGCGGCGAGCTGAGATCACAAAACAGAGCAAGACTCCATCTCAAAAAAAAGAAAGAACTATGCTCATTTTACAAGCAATTTAAGTTTTGAAATATAATGAACAAAAAATAATTTTAGTAGCATAATTTATGTACCCTGTGCTTTTATTAATTCGTATAAATTATTATTGGTTCCCATGGTTTTCTTATGGTTGAAAAACTGAAGATTTATCTCCAAATAATATTAGAATACATATTTAATCAGCATGGCAAAATACTCAAATGTCCTCATTTTATCAGAGACAAACTCAAGGTATATGAGTAGGAGTGCAAATAAAATATCTTACAAAGGTTATAAATAAAGGTTATAAACAAGAAATTATTTTAAGATGACTGTCACTTTAAAATGCTCTCAGCGTTAACAAGCACACACACTAACAGTGAAATGTTGGCACAGACATCTCTGCCCTTCAAAGCCTTGGCAGCAAGCACTGCAGCAGACCACATATGATGGTCCCATGAAGCCGTGTTTGTTGTTACACCAAGTGTAACCGGAGTAAGCAAATTCTCTTTAGGAAATCATCTGGAGCTGAATGTAGCGTCATTGCAATAGTCTCTAGGCCAAGTTTACATTAGACATGGGACAAGCCCCCCTCAATTTAATTCAACTCAGAAAGTTGGCACAGAGCTTGTTCAAGTCACTGTCAGAGTTTTTTTTAATTTGAGAAGCAAAACAGAGAGAGAACACATAATTAATGTTATCCATTGAGCATGCCAATATCTTGACTTCCATTGTTATTTTTCAAATGTTTTCAACTTTTAAGATACTTGGCTATGCTTTGAGGAAATAAGAAAAAAACATATCTCTCATGAGTGTTAGAATATTCAGGGTTAGGTTCTGCATGGAATAACGAATAAAGTAGACACGTTTTAGATGCCAGCAACAACTCAAGCAGTGTCTCAACGGGAGTATATTCACCCTTCTTGGCCTACATTGCAATAACTGGAAAATTAATACAGGGAATAAATTAATTTTTCACAGTGGCACACACCTGTCTCCTGCAGACAAAAATGCTACCAACATCATAAGGAAGTCAATAGAAGTGTCAGCAACTTCCTCAAGCCAACACTGAGCAGTGACTGCTGGTAAGTAAGAATCTTGTTATAAAACAAGGTCTCCTGCCTTCGTCATGCAGCTGGGTTAGAGTTTAAGTGTGCATTTACCCAATTCGCATGCAGGCCATAAGTAAAGTGGAAGCACTTCAAGCAGAATAAAATCCAAGCTCGGTATCATGACATAAAATGGGTAACCATAGTTTATCATCCAAACCAGGACACCTTTTTTTTCGTTTTTTTAAGTTTTAATTTTATTTTGAGACAGAGTCTTGCTCTGTCACCCAGGCTGGAGTGCAACGTGGCACTATCTTGGCTCTCTGCAACCTCTGCCTCCCAGGCTCAAGCAATCTTCCCACTTCAGCCTTCCAAGTAGCTAGGACTACAGGCACAAGCCACCACGTCCAGCTAATTTTTGTATTTTTTGTAGAGACAGGGTTTTGCCATGTTGGTCAGGCTGGTCTCGAACCCCTGGCCTCAAGTGATCTGCCCATCTAGGTCTCCCAAAGTGCTGGGATTATAGGAATGAGCTACTGAGCCCAGCCCAGGACACTTTTTTTGTTTTGTTTTGTTTTTTGTTTTTGAAATTAAGTTTCACTCTTGTTGCACAGGCTGGAGTGCAATGGCGTGATCTCGGCTCACTGCAACCTCTGCTTCTTAGGTTCAAGAGAGTCTCTTGTCTCAGCCTCCCGAGTAGCTGAGATTACAGGTATGTGCCACCACGCCCAGCTAATTTTTGTATTTTTAGTAAAGACAGGGTTTCTCCAAGTTGGTCAGGCTGGTCTTGAACTCCCGACCTCAGGTGATTTGCCAGCCTCGGCCTCCCAAAGTGCTGGGTTTACAGGCACAAGCCACCGTGCCCAGCCTCAGGCCACTTTTAATAGTAAAAGTGAGCACTATTGACAATTACTACAGGACAACAGGCACAAACCAGGACTTTCCTGGGCAAGCCAGGATGGACAGTTACCTACCTAAAGATACGGTAACCAGATGGATGTTCAGTATCAAGCGTGAGAAGTATGACTGAGAGACGGACAATACCTAACAATTTCAGGAATTCCCTTTCTTTTCATTAATATTTTATCATATTTTTACATATGATCCCTATTAAAGCAAAACTAAGAATAATAAAGCTACATAACACATGTATTTACTAAAGTTTATATTATGTAATTCTCTAAATATTCCTTGTTTAACATTCAGTATACTGTGTAATGAAAGCCTTAAGAAAGCTAAAACAGGAAATAGAGGAGAAAATATTTTGTCAGTAAATTTCATACCTTGGAAGACTGACCTATGACCATCAGTTTTCTGCAAATGGTGTAAATATAAATGGTACCTGGATGGAGAAAACGATTGTTAACATGTTATTCAGTCAAATGATGAAAACTTTACATTTCAGTTTCTGTGGTTCAAGTCTGTAGGTCCAAAAACAAGTGATCTCATGAGAAAGTCTGATAATGCTACAGAGTTATACGCATCAACATTTTTCTTGTAACTTGTAAACAAAATCATCAAAATAATTAATATGGCCATATTTTAAATATGTTGACACAGGAATCTTTTAGTCTCATTTTACGGGCAATTTAAGTTTTGAAGTATAATGAACAAAATAATTTTAGTGGCAAAATTTATATACCCTGTGCTTTTATTAATTCATACAAAATATTATTGGTTCCTGGCCAGGCACAGGGCTCACACGTAATCCCAGCACTTTCAGAGGCCAAGGCAGGTAGATCATGAGCTCAGGAGTTTGAGACCAGCCTGGCCAGTATGGTGAAACCCCGTCTCTACTAATAATACAAAAATTAGCCAGGCGTGGTGATGCACGCTTGTAGTCCCAGTTACTTGGGAGACTGAGGCAGAAGAATCGCTTGAACCCTGGAGGTGGAAGTTGCAGTAAGCCGAGATGGCACCACTGCACTCCAGCCTGGGCAAAAGAACGAGACTCTGTCTCAAAAAACATATATATTTAATTGGTTTCTATGGTTTCCTTATGGTTGAAAAACTAAAGATTTAGATTTATCTCCAAGTAAGATTAGAATACATATTTAATCAGCATGGCAAAATACTCAACCAGGAAACTCAGAATAATTTAAAATTCATAATGCATGACAGGTCATGTTATAGTCACTCTAAGACTCATATAACATTTTCCCCATTATCGAGGTATGCCCTATAAGCATTCTAATGAAAAAAACAGCATTTCCAACACCTAAATAAGTTATTCAAGTATGCTTTTGTGTCAGACCATTAATTAAATGAGTACAGAGAGCTGGAGGTAGGGTTGAAGAGAGGAGTGGGGAACATCACCATACTTCTCTCTGTATACAAGCAGTTTATCAAGTACTCAAAAGATGGTAACATGCTTTAAAAAGGCATGTAATTATAATAGGTAGTCTAAATATTTTATAAAATATCTCATCAAATATTCATAGCCATAAAAATTCAACAATTATAATCCTATGTTCTAGTTTAAACTTTTAAGTTTCTGATGTCCAGGCATGGTGGCTCCTGCCTGTAATCCCAGCACTTTGGGAGACCAAGGAGGGCAAAATATCAGAGGTCAGGAGTTTGAGACCAGCCTGGTCAACATAGCGAAACCCTATCTCTACTAAAAATACAAAATTAGCTGGGTTGATGGTATGTACCTGTAATCCCAGCTACTACTCAGGAGGCTGAGGCAGGAGAATAGCCTGAGCCCAGGTGGCAGAGGTTGCAGTGAGCCAAGAATGTGTCACTGCACTCCAGCCGGGGTGATAGAGCGAGACTCCATCTCAGAAAAATAAATAAATAAATAATTAAAAGTTTCTGAGAAAAAGGCAACTATACCAAAACATCTATCACTTGATTAAAATACGATTGTTAGAATAATAAACATCAATTACACAAATCAGTGACCCCCAAAATTGAACAAAACTTAAACTTAAATGTATAGTACCATAAATTTCATGGAGAATGCAACTGGTCCTTAACATTCAGGGACTCGACATTTTTCATGTGACTACCCCCAGGACATCTAGTTATTCATTCCACTGAAGACCCACTGGGAAGAAACCACTCGGCTAATAACAACTCAAGCTCCGCCGACTTATCTCACAAGGCTTTGATGACCTCTACCCTTCATCTTTTAGTCTTTGCTTTTTTTTTTTTTTTTTTTTGAGATAGAGTTTCGCTCTGTCACCCAGGCGGGGCTGAATGGCTCAATCTTGGCTCACAGCAACCTCCACCTCCCAGGTTTAAGCGATTCACCTGCCTCAGGCTCTTGAATAGATGGGACTACAGGTGCACACCACCATGCCCAGCTAATTTTTGTATTTTTAGTAGAGACAGCATTTCTCCATATTGGCCAGGCTGGTCTTGAACTCCTGACCTCAAGTGATCTGGCTTCCCAAAGTGCCGGGATGATAGATGTGAGTGATCATGCCTGGCCTCTATTCTTCATCTTTAAAAATAAGCTAGTATGGCCTGGCATGGTGGCTCATGCCTGTAATCCCAGCACTTTGGGAGTCCGAGGTGGGCGGATCACGAGGTCAAGAGATCCAGATCATCCTGGCCAACATGGTGAAACCCCGTCTCTACAAAAAATACAAAAATCAGCCAGGCGTGGTGG